GAAGCAGGAAGCTCCCTCCGCGTTCCTGCCCAGTCCACCGAAGAAACAACATGTGAGCTGCCATGCTGAGAAAGGTACTAAGCTGTGCGGCTAACATAGATAATAATAATGGGTTAATATAAGTTACAAGGGTTAGCAAGAAGCCTGAGCTAATGGGCCAATCAGTTTATAACCTAATTTAGACTCTGTGTTATTTTCTTTGGGAATTGCCGGTTGTGGGGTACCGGGCAGGACAGAAACCCCAACAAGCTTGCCCTGCATGTTACAAATGGTGCCCACGTGGATAACTGCATCCACAGAAAGCCTGAGAAAGCTTGGGAAAGAATAGAGTAAAGCATGTTTTGTTGGTAGCAGCAATTTCTCAGGTCTGCTCTGCTTGCTAGAGGCAAGCAAATGCTCTCATCTAAGAGAAGCTTCCTGACTCAGCTTTAGCTGCAAAACCCTGCAGCTCTTTTAAGAGGTCCTGCCACAAAAAACTTAAATGGTGTTGATGAAAAGCTGAACACATGCTTTTCGGTTTTCAACTGTAGCAGGAAAAAAGCCATGCTGTTTTAAAATGCCGGCTTTCTGGGCCATCCTGCCAGGGCAATCTCTGACCTTTTTAGGAAGGCAGTCCGACTGAGTGTAGTCTGTGAGCAGAAAGCTGCAGCTTGCTTGCTGGCAGGAACCTTGAAACACTGTAGAGTTTTGACGATAAAAATGACTCTAGTGGTACTTCTGCTATGAGGCTGGGAAGCTAAGGAATGGGCTGGATCTAGCCGTCAAAGCCATGGCTCTCCATATTGCTTAGTAAATTAAAGGCTCATGTGGTCAGAAAAAGAGAGATATACAGTAAAGAGAGATTCAAAGAGGAAGAGAACCTCTAAATGTTATACAGTGTGTTAAAAATATATGCAGGCTAAAGGTTAAAGTCATTAAAAATAAAAAAGAAAGAAAGAGAAAAGTAGGGTGTGGTGGTACACACCTTTAATCCCAATGCCTGGGAGGCAGAGGTAGATTGACCTCTGTGACTTCAAGGTGTGGTAGCACACACCTTTAAACCCAATGCCTGGGAGACAGAGACAGAGGGATCTTTGTGAGTTCAAGGTGTGGTAGTAGACACCTTTAATCCCAGCACTGGGGAGGCAGAGACAGCTGAATCTCTGTGAGTTCAAGGACAGCCTGGTCTACAGAGTTATTCCAGGACAAAGATATACAGAGAACCTGTCTCAAAAAGTAAAAGTAAAAATAAAAGAAATAGAGGTTAAAATAAAGCCTCATAAAGATGGAAAATACACAGAGAATCTTGATACTGTATGCTATTATGCTCTCTTTGAATGCTGAGGAAGGAGCAACAGCTGCTAAAAGACTTTTGTTTATAAATGCTGCTGAATTAACCCAAGATAGGAATTTTGAAAATACCTTAGCTTCAAAACTGAAGTCAAAAGGTATGTTACTTTGGAGAAGAGATTTTGCTTTTGTTTCCATGGAAAATGAGAGGCTGTGGATTCATTCTGAGTTAAGAAAAATCAGGTTCGAAAAAGGAAGACCACCTGAGAAATCTCCGATAGGAACAGATGACCCAGATGTCTGAGTTCTACATCCAGAACAGATTCAAGACTGCTGCCTGAGATGATCAAGACTCACAGGATACTCCAGTCAGGACTTGATTATAACTCTAAGAGATTATTTTCAGTATAGACAGATAATCTTCAACCTCTTTAAAAAGCTGTAGAAAATGGCCTTTAATCTAATTCAGAGTTCTGTGGTAGTGAGACACAATCACTCCTGGCAACACCGATCTATTCCTGAGAGAATGTTGAGCACCAAAGACACTCCACCTGGAGCCTTTCTTCTTGCCAGAACTGGCCTTTAGGTAAAGAAATGCCCATACCTCAACTACTGACAGAGTTACAGAATATACGTAAATGGATAAAATAGGACTGTCATATCCTGCTAAGACAGGGTAAGATAGTTTTGAAAAGTTTCTTGCCTTTGAAAATGGTATGTCAGTTACGTCAGACCTTAGCCAAAGTTGGTTGTTTCAACGCTGCAAACGTGACTTTGGGTGTTTGCCCAAGTAGCCAGTTGTCTCTGTGATTTGTTACATGTTCTGAAAGTTGTTTGATTGCACTTCCTAATTACTCAGGAAACATTATTTCCCTTCTCAGATCTTCGATGGGATTGAAGATTATATAAATGTAGTTTCTTTCCTCTCATGACTTGGCCAAGTTATTTATTATACAAGACTTAAGCTAGTTAGAATAGGATATTTGTACTTATTGTATATAATTTTGTAGGTTTGTACTTATTGTATATAATTTCGTAGTAGGCTTAGAACTCTCTTACTTAAACAAAAGGGGGAGATGCTGCGGGAGCTCCTTCCACTCCTTCAGCCAATAGCCGCTGAGATACCAGGTCATTGGGGCATGGTCTCTCTCTCTCTCTCTTTAAAAAAGCAGCGGCTGTCCTCCACTTGCTCTCTGGCTTCCAGCTCTGCTTCCGGTTCCTAGACTCCTTTCCTGTTCGCACAGAGGGGCTGTTGTCTAGGACGGTAATCTGTAAGTTTTTCCCCTTTGAATAAATAACCATTCTATTAGTCATAATTCCAAACTGATGTGGGATTGTTTGTGACTTACGCCTTCAGCAGGGTCTCTCACTAAATCTGAAGCTTGCTGTTACATAGAGTGGCTGGTCAGTAAGCACCAGCAGCTGCCAGGCTCTACCTCTCAGCTTTTAAGCTAAATATGTGCAGCACCACATACACACAAGCTTTTATTTGTGTACCTAAGAGGTACACTCAGCTTACACAGCAATGCTTTACTCATGGAATAAACTACTCATCCCTCACTTTAAATATTTGAATGACCTGACTGACAAATACATACAACTACACACAATAGTGACAATACACACAACTGTGGGGGCTCCAAACTGTTTTAAACATGAAAAGTTTTCACCATCCACCACCTTTTAGTTCACCCAGGCAGTAAGGACTTATTTTGTAAATAATCCATCTAAGGTAAGAGGTGTCAGATTCCTGTCTAAACTTTGTGTCAGCTTAATTACAAGTTGAGGCATGTTTTCTGACTTTCCATTACTATCCAAATTTGTAAACATCAGTATCTGGTATATGAGAGATACTACAGGTGAACGTATTTTTTCAGTTCTACTAGAATGCCCTTGTTTAATCTTCCTTCAGTTCTTAAGACATTTGTCAGTGCTTTATTTTAAAACAAAAACATGTACCCAGCATTAAGCATTAGTATCTTCTTGAGTGGAACCTTCCAACCATGATCACTTTATATTTGGATGAGGTTCTGACTGGTAATTAGCTAGCATATAGTGTATAATGAGTTATATGATTTTAGAGACCAGTACATGAGAGCAATTATTATTGAAAGGTTTCAACTTAATGAGCAACGATTTGCAGAAGGCATTTAAGAGGAGGACATTTGTTGGCAGAGTGAAATAAATGCTTAGATTACAGGGTGAGCATAGTAGAGCAATTAAAGACACACATGCTTTTTATAATGTACTTTGAAATGTATCTATTTATTCTTATTTTACGTGTATGAATGCTAGTCTGCATGTACATATTGGTATGACACAGTGCCCTTGGAGACCAGAAGAGAGCATCAGATCCCCATGGAACCAAAATTACAGAGACTTGTAAACTGTCATGGATTAAAGGAATCAAACCCAGGTCCTCTGAAAGAGCAGTAAGTACTCTTTACTGCTGAGCCATCTTTCCAACCCCAACAACAATCCTTTTTTTTATTGCATGTTGACCTGCTTTGGGTTATTATGGTAGATACCTTTGACTACAAAATCACAGGACATGAGCAAGAAACTCTCTTTCCAAGCTTCATAATACAGCAGAAGCAGACACAGAGACTATAACACAGTGACTTCTGGACTAGTGACTTTTCTAAGCAACGTCAGGGGATTCTAGAAGATACCAGATGATCTGAACATACAGAGGGTTCATGTTGCACAGCATTATCCCCTGAGTCAGTAACTATCATCTTTGTAAGAGCAGCTGTGTCTGTTTATACAAAGATAACCACAGCTGGATCTATGTTGAGTGCTGACATTTTCTCACAGAAGGAGAGGGAAGAAGGGCTAGTAGAAGCTTACCTGAATATCCACTCACTTCTCTAAGCCAATTGTATGCAATTCTTCCCTAATTGCATGTAGATTCAGGGGTGGTAAACTGGTTACGCAGCCTGGAGACAATTTGGTGAAAGAAACCCCACTTATGGAGCTACAGGGAAACCACCATCCACGTTGGATGAAGACTTTCCAATGTAGTTGCTCTAGAGTCAACCCTGCTCCTATTAGTAACACCTCACCATGTGCTGTAAGCAAGCCCAATATACTCATGTGTGTCCTAGGAGGAACTTAGGTGGAATAGAACTGTTGTTTGTCCTGGGACCTTTGAGAGAGGTGGTGGAGGAGACACTGCTGGGTTCTCCGCAAGGATAAAATTCTGGAGACAGATGAAAATGGGAGGAGGGGACTTACAGACACTACATTTCCTGTTTATACTACACATATCAATTCTGGATGACAATCACATATCTTTCAAATGGCCAATGAAAGTGAAAGTCATGAAAATGGGAGGCTATCCATCTGTATATACAGTGTATACATTGATGCTCATACTTATTCATTTTCCCCTAATGTTTATTAGGTTCCAAGTGAATTCTATGACCATGCAATAATTCATACCACACTTGCAATAATGTGTAACTATTTCCAATTTGAAATCTGATCAAAATTTGTAAAGATGGGGACAGCTCAGTAGACTTGATGTCATATGAACTACAATGATTACATTGATGAAATGAAGTTTTTGTTTGTTTGTTTGTTATTTTTCTAAGCATTCACACGTAAGTCTATGGCTTAACTTCTATTGTAAATGATATGTTCATCCTGCAACTTTCATGGAATGGAGTTTACTTTCTGAAACAGTAAATTTAACTCTTCCTCAGTACAAATTTCTTGGGAGTACTTACATATTCTTCATAAGCCTCATGGGCTGGAGGTGGAGGTGCTCTATATCCTGGTACAGCTGCTGTCCCTCTGGAACGAGGTGTGGGGACACCTCTCGCTATTGGGGGCACTGGAAGAGCTCCACGGGTAACAGTGGTCCCCCGAGGGGTAAGAACACCGCGTCCAGGTGGTGGTGGGGGAGGAACAGCACCCCCACGGCCCCTAGGAGAAATAAGAGACAAGTAGATGAAAGAAAAGAAAGACAAGAAATTATGTTTTCAGCTCACTGCATCTACACAAATCGCTCTCTCTTTCTGATAGATATTATATAATACATAAAGTGTTTTGAGTCACATTAAAGCATATTTCTTTAAATATTATAATTTAGTGAGAGCCATGAAATATATTTTGATATTTTCTATCATATAATTTAAAAAGGAGAAAAAAGACATGGAAACAGAATAGTGAAGTCTTTCTTGATTATATTTCAGACTTTAAAAGAACAAACCTGCCAATTATCTGAGATGTAGTATGTTGGCTACATGTGAGACCGTGTGTGTGTGTGTGTGTGTGTGTGTGTGTGTGTGTGTAGACTATCTTCATGTTGGGAGTTGTTGACAGTGATCCCCAGTGTGGTCATATTTCAAAAATAATCAATACAATTTGACAGTCTGGCCAGAGTGATGCCGCTCTGCAGTTACAGTAGCTTGAGTTTTGCATCACACTATTCTCTCCCGAGATAGTGAAGTCATTGGCAGATTTTCACTAGGTAACCTAGGGCAGCTGAATTAGTGCTCAGCAATGAGAAGGCCTCATGAATGTTTTCTACCACATACTTAAAACAACAGTGATCTGAACAAAAGCATGAGATCAAAGAATGCAGCCATTTTTTTCTGACATTCTGAAACATTTAGAAAGGATGTTCATCTGAAATTTTTAGACAAATACATGGTCATTTCACTCTCCATTGTCTGAAAGTGGACCTCTAGAAAGCACTGCTATCAGCAGGAATGCTAAGCTTTGAGAAAAATGATGATCATCGGAATGTCAACCAGCATAGAGTTCAGCTGTGCCACCAATGGAGGCAAATGTTAAACTTCTCTGAACAGCCATCAACTGGCTCTTTCCTCCTGGAAGAAAATTGTTGTGGGACAATGGTTTTACACTGTACGGATTTGTTTCTTGCACTTGTTTAATTGTTTAATAAAATGCTGATTGACTAGTAGCCAGGCAGGGAGTATAAGCAGGACAACCAGGCAGGAAGTAGAGGCAGGGCAATGAGAACAGGAAAATTCTGGAAAGAGGAAAGATTCAGTCTGCAGCCATCATCCAGACACAGAGGAAACACGATGTGAGTGCCTCACCAGAAAAGGTACCAAGCCGCGTGCCTAACACAGACAAGAATTATGGGCTAATATCAGTTATAAGAGTTAATAAGAAGCCTGAGATTATAATTTTAGTTTATAATTAATGTAGTTCTCTATGTGTTTCTTTGGGACTGAATGGCTGCAGGTTGGGCAGGACAGAAACCTCAGTCAACAAATGGTGCACAATGTGTGGACAACTGCATCCACAAAAAGCCTGAGAGAGCTTGGAAAGTAATTCTAGACAGAAAAGAATAGAGTTAATCATGGCTTATTGATAGCAGCACTTTCTCAGCTCTTTGCTAGAGACAAGTGCATCTCATTTAAGAGACGCTTCCTGACTCAGCTTTACCTGTGAAACCTTGCCGCTCTTTTAAGAAGCCCTGCAACCAAACGCTTAAATGGTGTTCATGAATTGCCTACAGTATGCTTCCTGATGGTGTCAGGGACCTTGAAACTCCATAGAGTTTTGACAATAAACAAGGCTCCAGTCAGTACCTCTGCCATGAAGCTAGGATCTCAGAAAGCTAAGGAATGGGTTGGATCCAGCTGTCAAAACCATGGCTTTAATCCTAGCCATATCACTTAGAAAATTAAAGACTCATGTGGTCAGAAAAAGAGAGATATACAGTAGAGATATATTCAAAGACAATGAAAACCCCTAAACAGTTTACAATGTGTTTGAAAATATATGTAGGCTTGGGAGAGAAAAGAAAAAGGAAAACATCCTTAAAATAAAAACAAAAGTGAGGAAGAGAGTAGTTGGGTGTGGTAGCACACACTTTAATCCCAACACTTCAGAGGCAGAGGCAGGCAGATCTCTGTGAGTTCACGGACAGCCTGGTCTATAGAGAGAGTTCCAGGTCAGCCAAAGCTGCTTAAAGATATTTGACTATAAAAGCTGCTGGATTAGTCCAACCTATATATTTTTAAAATCCCTTCACTTCAAAATTTAGGTCAAAAGGTATGTTACTTTGTATAAGAGGTTTTGCTTTTGTTTCCACAGGAAATGAGAGGCTGTAGATTCATTCTGGGCTAAAAAACATTAAGTTTCATCAAGGAAGACCTCCTGAGAAATCTTTGATAGGAGTGGATGGTCCAGATGGTTCAACAATTCAGAACACCTCTGTTGGAGTTTCCTCTGAATTCTACATCCAGAACAGTTTCAAGACTGCTAGCTGAGATGATCAAGCCTCAGAATTTTCCAGTCAGGACTTGACCGTAATTCTAATTTTTTTTAGGTCCCTGTAGCCTTACTGTCCCCAATTAGCAGGAAGAATCCTGGAAAACTATTGATTATGGATGTTTTTCTTTGTTTATAGTGTTGGTTACAAGTTGTATGGATAATGGTCAGGAAGAAAGCTAAACAAACAAGATTCGATTCAGAGTTCTTATTTTGAAAAAGAAAAAAAAGGCGGTGAAGTGCTGTGAGACAATGGCTTTACTCTGTAAAGATTTGTTTCTTGTACTTGTTTAAAAAATGCTGATTGGCCAATATAAGTGCCTCGCTGAATAAAGAAAATACCAAGCCACGTGGCTAACACAGACAAGAATTATGGGCTAATACAAGTTATAAGAGTTAATAAGAAGCCTGAGCTAATAGGCCAATCAGTTTATTTGGGGCTGAATGTCTGCAGGATTGGGTAGGACAGAAACCTCGGGCAACAGAAAAGGAGAGTTGGAAGTGAATTCTTGGCTTACCTAGCTTATGAGTAGAGACTATACAAAACAGTAGCCTAGAGCCAAGTCTATAAAGGACCCAAACCTGCAGTGCCAGTTTCAAGTACAATGGCTGGGAAGACAAGCTAATGTTATCAGATGACATAAAGATACCTGTTAAGTGCCATCGCCTTCACCGAGCTCCTGAGTTGTTGTCTGCATGTGAAATGTGTGAACACATGGTGCCCAGCTCTTAGTGGTGTTTTGGGAGGTTCTAGAATAGGTAGGATTGTTGTGATATAGCTGCCCTCATTTCCCCCTGACCAGCGGAACTTCCTTGTGGTCTGTAATTGACAAGGATGTTTGTGTTCTTTCTGGCCGGTGGGTCTCCACAGAAGGAGTAGAGGTATAAAAGGTTGCTAGGCAAAATAAAGGTTGTTGTTCTTCCAACTGAAAAGAAGCCTCCCTGTCTCAATCCCGGCACCCCCGCCAGTCTTGGCTATCCAGGCTGCGCTGGCTGCAGCAAGGATGGGGACTCTTACTGGAGGAATTAGTTATCTGTGGACACAAAAAAGAGCAAAGCTCTCCCAGTCACAAGTTCCCATCTCAGTGAGTCATCTTCCACAGGGCCTTTTCAAATATGATGGACTGTATCCCTTTGAAACTGTGAGCCAAATACACCTTTCATTCCTCCATTCAGTTGCTTCTTGTTGAGTATTTACTTATGACAAGACATGTCACTAATCCAGCCTCCAAGTTCCTGTTCCTCAATCATAACATACTCCCAGGTCTGACGACTAGGATGATAATTCCTGTTCAGTTTAGCATTTTAGTGCTATCAAAACGTATATGTGTTGATAATAAACTACATGTGCTGGCTAGGTCAATGAATAATAGTAGGTAAATATTTCAATTACCTAGACCTAAAATAATATTTTTTCCTACTGAGATGTCTCTAGATTTCTAAATCTATATAATATTTCTGCTTGGAAATTATGTCATGCTCTTATTGATTCTGATTTGTCATTACATTTCTTCTACAGGTGACTCTTAGACCCAATCTTAGCAAAACTTCATTCAGAGTGTCTCATTCCCTCTTGTATGTCCTGTCGTTTCCTGGCAGTAATACCATTATTGCCTTCTCCCGTTCAACCTAAAACATGCATCATCTCTTTTAGGATACTGTCCAGGGCTAAATCCCCACTGCAGTATTCTTTTAGTTTCTGACTTCTTCAAAGAACATTTTCTGCATTTAATCTTCTCTTCATGTTCATTTCTGAACCAAATGTCATCTTTTTAGTTCATGTTTTCAGCACTCTGGGAAGACACTTGGCTGAGCCTGCCAAGCCCACAGCCTACCAATTTCCTCTTATAGCTCCCATGACCCTGTGTCTCCTGAGTTATATTTAAGACTTCTCCAAACTATTATCTGGAAAATGTTTCTTTGGACTTTTATTCTTTTCTCTACACTGTCTCTCTGTATTTCAAGTGCTGTTCATTTCTGCCAGCCTCAGGTCATGGGTTTGTGTTCATTGTTTCCCCAGTCATGATTCAGGCTCTTTCACCACTTCTTAGCCATGAACACAGATAATTGCTCAAATTCTTATCATCATGCCAATTTCTGAGATCCTTTCTAAAATATAGATACAGTTCCATCCCTTTAAAAACTCTAGTAGTTCTATATGTTACCTCGAATGTTGTCCCCAAATCATCCAAAATCTTCTCTTAAGGTTATTAGCATTCTGTTATTTATTTGATTAAGAAACAAATTAAAACTTTAGAATAAAGATTCTCTGAAGTTTAAGTCCATTCAAATTTGGCAAATGCTCTGAGCCAAAACAAACATTTATCCTTTAAGTTTCTATCAAGAGTTGGTTCCTATGTTAGTAATAGAACTAATTCTATTACTATGATGCTTTTAAGATGTCATAAAAAGGTAGGTAATTTATTTTAAGTAGTTAGATTCTCAAGGAATACTGAAGAAATATTGCTTTGTTTGGTGTATAAAATATACAGTTAATGTTTACCTGCTAAAACAGTTAAAGTAACATTTCCATACTACAAATTTGTGAGGTTTTATTGTTCAGACTCTAGCATTAACCTATTTAAGATGATTTGCATGAAAGCTACTATGGAATCAAAAAAATCAGGCTAGGAATGCAAGTTTTATAAAAGACTTGTCTCATGGAAAGTGTTGCATCTTGTATCAATAAGGATATGACCTGGCAAATTAGTACAGTGTTTACTTTTTAGTATTGGGGATGAAGTATGAACAGAAGCTCTGGAAACTTTTTGGGTATTTTCCTTCAGGCAGATTTAATTGTCCCCAAATTTCTACATTGATTCATGTATAGAGCTAACTGGTGAATATTCTATTTTGGAATCCTTAATTTTTTTCTGAAAAATAAGCAAGGTTTTATAATATTAAATGAAAAAGGCAGTGGGGTATTGATAATGATTGAAGCCTTTGGGGCAGAAATTGCAGAATGCTTTAGCTTGTCTTCCACTTTCGTTTGACAGTTGAAACATTATTCATAGTCTTTCCTTTAACAGTATTAGCCAGCTATACAGAAAAGAAAGTAAAATGAGCAAATGAATTATGCAGCTTGTGTGTAAGGATTATGGTGTGTGTGTATGTGTGTTGTAACTTTTAAACAGAAAAAGGATGATTTTGGCTCCTGGTTTTACTAGTTCTGGGCTATGATCTGGACTCTGCTTTAAGATAGCTGATAAGAGGCTAGACACAGAGTAGGGCACCAGAATAGACATGGGCAGCAAGGTGGGCAAAGCTGTTGAACTTGTGGGGAAGTAAGAAAAGAAAAACCCAAGACAGTAACAGCTACAGCATCCTTGGAAGGCATTTGATACTATGACACCAGACTTCCCACTATGACTTACTTTTTGATGTTTGTTTTCTGCCTGTGACATAGATGTTCAGGAATGCTAGTCTGAGTTCTCTGCTATTTGGTCTCTGATTTGGGTATTAGACTATATATGCATCTTTGCCTTTTGGCAAATTAATGCTTTCTATTTAAAGCTTAAAAAATTCATTAAGAATCCTACAAAACAAAAAATTATCATCAAGGATTTTGCAAAGCCAAATATATGCCTGAATTTTATATAGCTATGCTGTTAGTGGTGCCATCGTGAACTTCGTTTTTTTTTCTTACATGATGGAGACATATCCAATTCATTTATATGTCACTTGACTATATTATATCTCTTCAAGAACCATATATGGCATGGATAAAATATGTAGTTTTCTATCATGCAAAGATTTTTTTTAGTTTTAAAAAAGCAAAGAGCTATGCAACCTCTGTGACCTAATCCTGGGGACAGAACAAAAAAGTAGAGAATCTCAGGTTCCCACCTTATTTTGTAAGGATAGTTGTTAAGTGTTCAAATTCATGAATTTCTCAGTCAGATTGTATATATTATTTTAGGTAACATTTTAATATTCTTCCATACTTTTGTTGTTGTTTTGTTTCTGAAAATAGATCCATGGCTGGCCTTGAAATCACCATGGAGATCAGGCTGGTATTGAACTCACAGAGATCCACTTTTCTCAGTCTCTTGAGTTCTGGGATTAAAGGTGTGGGCTACCATACTTGGCCCACCCAACTTTTGTTCCTAAGTTTATAAAAAGTACTGATCTCAAGTTCAAAAAATGTGATGAGTTAATGTGTGCTATCTCTTATATGCTATTTAACCATTCATTCCTACTGTTTTGTTGTGATGTGAGTATTGATGAGGCTGTTCTGTTTTGTACTTTTTAAGCATCCAGACTTACTGTCATATTATAATGTGAGTGTTAATGAATTATTTAGTTCTCTTTGGAATTTTGACATAGAGCAGATGCCTGAAGTCAGCATTTGCTGTTAATCCTCTAAGAGTGAGAACTCGGGTACCTTGACGGAGTTAAGGGAGTAATTCTGATTCCTCTGCCTCTAAGACCTCGGCCACGGCTAGACTCTTCTGAGCCATTTAAGTAAGACAACTCCCGGAGCTGTTCCTGGCGAATTTCATCATTGTAGTCCTAGAAGGAAAACAAGACAGGCATGATGAACTATCAGACATTGGCTGCTTAGTCCTGAGACACACAGTCCAAACAATAAGAAAAAAGGCTGAGGAGTCAACCCAGTGACAGAACGTTCATCTAGCATGTGAGGGACCCCAAGTTCTGTTACCAGCATTTCAAAACTGAAGAAAATAAATCAAGACAACAATGTTGTGGAGCCAGAGCAGAGACTACCTGTATGCCTTGCTTCAAAGTGCTGATCCTGGTACCCAAGAGCCTGAGGTAGAAAGGATGTTCCCAAGAGTTCAAGGACTATCTGAGAACATCCTGAATTCTAGGTCAGTCTTGGCTAATGTGTAACAAAAGAAACAAAACAACTGTGTCTGTTTCGTGATTCTTATGTTCAAACTCCGGAAATGATGCTAAAGAAGGCACAAATCTATTCAAGCTGCTTATTGTATAGTGAAAATGAAGATGTTTCTTTCATCAAGAAAGTATTCTTCATGAAACTGAATTTAATTCTCTTAACTATCATTTTAGGGTTTATCTGAAGAGGGGAAGTAGCAGCAGGGTATTAGTACACTGGAAGTTACCTTAGCTAGAACTGTCAACATCAATAATATGGAAAATAGTCTTCACTTGGGTGAATATATGTAGAGTATGAGTGCATGTTATTCAAACAGATCCTGAGTTACAATCCAAAAGGGGACAGTCCTAAGAGCCAGAGAAGGTAAGATTGTCTTAAATTCATTAAAAGGATGTACAGCACCAGGATTTGTTTGAGACACAGAAATTCTGGAATCCCACCACATAACCTGACCTGCAACATTTTCAAATCAAGGAACTTTCTTACGCGTCTTATCCTCATAAAGAGGGAGTCACAATGTAAATCAACTGTTACAGTCACAACCAGAGGCTTGGGTGACACACCTGCCATTATTCTTCAGTTAGTCATTTACAAAGAACTAAAAAGTAGTCTGAGTCATTATAGAGGTATTTAACCTTTAATGAATAGGGCTAGTTTTAATTATTTCTGCATCTAATACACATACACACATATACAAACATAGAAACACTTAGACAAAGAACAGATACACACACAGACACACATACACCCACCCTTGTGACACAATATAAAACAGAGTAGTTGGATATTTGTGCCAAATTGCCAATATGATCTTTTTCTCCTGGATCCATGCCTCTGAAAGTTCTGGTAACCTTGGCATTGGCTGAGTGGAACTTTTATGCTAAGTACAAAATGAAGCTAAAGTGACTGGAAAGCGTTTGCACACTGGAACTTGAGTGTTTTGGCACTGGGAAAACTTATATCACAAGGTATGGAAGTCTAACTCAGTTTTTGGAAGATAGAACAGGTGGGGGAATTCCAGTCACTCTGCCCTTTCTGCCATCCTTTCTGAGATTCCGGAGAGCCATTCAGAGCTCTCTTCTCCTGGTCAAACAGGTAGAGACCAGAAACATCACCTGCAAATCTCAGAAATCTATTTTTCCCAGGATAAAAGATAATGAACTGGTATTCAAGAATTAAGAATCTTGTGTTGATTTGATCTAAGGGATCCAAGAGCAGTAATGGTTTGTCAGCATAGGATGTGAGAGTTGAGCTTCCCAGGCAAGCTTAAACAGCCATTCTCCACACATCTGGATGACAGCTGGATCTATATGCTATCATTTATTTCTTGTGTCAGGTGCCATCTCAGATGGAATTCAATATACCTGAATAAAATATCTTGGTATCAAATAGTTTGAGACACTTACTGAATCTCTGTTTAATGTGTGAATTCACTAACTTAGCATCATGGCTACTTTTCTGCTCTGGAAAATTCTATTAACTTGGAAAGATTACCAATCTTGGTTAGGTGAATATTTTACCACGAAGAATAATTCTTAATGCAAGCAAAACCACTACTGACAATATACAAGCAGATTCCTTGTGGACTTAGTGGGAAATGTTCCCTTTAAGAGATTAATCACTTTGCAGGTTTATGGTGACCAAGAGAATGGAGACATGTAATTACAAGTGAAACTGACCGTGAGCTGCACTTGTTCCCTTCTGAAATACTACATCCTCGAGGCCATGTTGCTAAGAGATTCTCACAGCTCCTGATGCTAAATTAAGTCTATTCCAAGGAGACACTGGATTCCTGTATTTTGAGGACTCCTTTTTGGTATTGCTAAACTTATATTTTTCCTTCAGCACATCAAAGAAGTTCAGAAACTCACATTTCTCTTTCCTTTGTTTCATATATTATATGGGAGAGCCCTCCTTATTTTCCAGAACTATTTCGACTTTGTTACAAGAGCACTTTCTTTAATAAAATACCTCCATGTTTAATCCACTTTATCATTCGCTTCTTCAAGGACTCAAGAGGAAATACAGAATTCTGACAAAATCGAGTTCCTAAAATCATAGAGCTGAGAGCTTTGACAAACTCATTTGTATTAGTGCTGATGGAAGGTGTTCCATTCACCATACTCTGTACTGTGGCTGAATCAGTGTGACTGACATATTCCTACTTTAAAATGACTATAGAAGGCTGAATATTAGACTCGCTACCCATAACTGGAAAATGCAATACTTTGAATTTAAAGAAAAAATACAACTTGCTTAATGCACCAGTTAATGGAAAACCAGGAAAGACTCATAGATGTAGGCAAACATGAGAACTATTTTGAGACAGAGAATAGAACAATTTCATTAGTACAGAGAATTATGGTGACACTGAATACGTTGCTTTTTTGTGTGAATGTGATGAGATATGAGGAAAAGAAATAGATATCTAAAAGCTTAAGGGTGTTCTGGTAGAAAGTAATACACTTCTTTCTTTCTATCATTTCTAAACTGTTTTGCCTGTTTTAAATACAAAAATTGGTTTTGGAAATATATTACTTGAAACAATCTCATATATACTCCTAATACTTTGCATATGTTCCTTCCCCTGAATGAGATAAATTTACTCTATGAAACAGTTTCCATGAAATGTATGATTGTTCCCTTTTGCCTCTCAGTTAAGGGCCTCCCATTGTGCTGGCATATGGTGTAAACAGTACACACACAGAAAAGCTGGGAGCAGAAGGGTGTTTGGCTGTTCCTAGAAAGAAATTATGTGCACAGTCCACATATTAAACATATATGCATAATTTCCAGTTACATACAGTCTTGTCCATCTGCTGTGGTGGCATTTTGCCAAAATACAAATTGGGAAGATTATTTAACTTACATTTAGATGGTAGGTAATGGCAGGTGTTAATAGCCAACCTGGGGGTTCAGTCAGGGACCATTTTTTTCTGCCAAATCCTCTCCATTAAGACTCAGCAGGCCCTGGTGCCACACATTTAAAACTGTGGCCATGGGCAGATGAGATGGCTCAGTGGAGAAAGGCATTTGCTGCCAAGTCTGACATCCTGAGCGATCCTGAAATCTACATGGTGGTAGGGGAGGACTGACACCTGCAAACTGTCCTCTCCCTCCGCATGGTTGTCATGGTACCAGCCCATTGCATATGTAACACATACACACACACACAGACACACACACACACACACACACACACACACAGACACACTAATTAAAAAGTACAAGAATGTAAGCCATAGTTTGGCAAAAAATGACACGTATATTTTAATCCTTTCGCGTTATAACAAAGAGAACGGAAGAAATATCAACCTCTACAAACCACAGTAATAAGCAAGAAAGTGAAATTGCAAGTGGTGGCACATGCCTGAAATTCTAAATTCTAGTACCTTCCAAGCCAAGAAAGAGGATTATGAGTTAAAGGCCATCCTGTGTTAAAAGAGTAAAAACTAAATGAAAGGAAAATGTTGGTTCCTAGCCAATATCATAGTTATAACTGAGCTGAAATGGATAGAAAACTTTAAAAATACTAACAGAGATTATTTAATAAGACAAAGATTAGGTGGCTTCACTGAGCCAGCACAGAATGAGCTTTATTCAGCTCACACCTGAAACCAGAAAACTATTATCAAGCTATAGTCAATGAAAGGTAAATTAAGATTTATTAAGAGTCTGTTGAATCAGTGATTCTCTATTAAGTTCATTCAAAACATTTATAATAGTGTTCATCAAAGAAAACAATATCAGAAGTTCAAGATGGCTTGGATTCTGAGCCTTGAATTGGTATTGATGGCAACTTCAGATTTCAAACATATTTTACTGTTATCAAAAAATTATTATAAACTATTCAAAAATCATGACCACTTGTGATGATAACTAAACAGATTGAATGCATGTATTATATGATTATTAGAATGGCTTATTTTCTTTTTCTTATTTTCTTTATAAAACATTGGCTACTGGCATATGAGGTCTTCCTATAAAGATCTGTGAAATGAACAACAAAGAACTCAAATACTTGTTGTAAGATTTTTAATTTAATGGTAGTCTCACAAATCAGCTATCACTCCAAGATAGATTTAGGATGCTAGAAAAATATTCATATAACTGCAGATGTCAGATTTGAGCTGTTACAAACACCAAGTCCTGTTTATCAAAATAAAGTCAAAATCAATATAAGCTTGCTCATTAAATGTTCTTAGCAAATTCATACAAAATTACAGCAAGAAGGAGAGGAAGCAGACACACAGTGACACCCATAGCCAAGGAGCTATTGGCATTGGATTGCTTCAGGACGAGAAAGATAAATCAGTTTTTCAGTGGAGTGACATGATATATTGCCCACATTTTAAGGCAGGCCCCATTCACAGGTGTAGTTGGTCAACACAAACAATACTATATTTTTTTTAAGGAAAAGAGAGGTGAGAGATGGGTGATTGAGAGAGAATCTCATTAGAGGTGGTGGATATAATAAAATGTATAAAATTCTTAAAGAATGAATGAGAATATTATTTGAATATTATTTACTTTTTTTCTTGGCAAGTTGTCAAGCACATAATATGGGCACCATATTGAGTTTTAAATAAAAATAGGTTTTAATTAATCCTTTATCATATTTAGGTCAACTTTTGCTTATAAGGAAAACACT